GTGTTACCTGCACACCCTTTTCCAGCCCTTCCCCAAAGTCCCGGCTGCCCTCACCCTCACCTGGAGTAGCTTAGTGACCTCTCACCCGGTCTCCTCTTTCTGCCTTGAACTCTTCCAGTTATCAAGTGGAAAGCTCTTTTCAAGATGTGAGTCCAGTTACATCACCCCTCATTCTAACCCTCCACCATCACTTTTTTCTTCTGGATTCTGAGTTTTCTTAACTGTAAATTGGGGTCAATTTAGCCCACCTCATGCGTGTATGAGTGGGGTGAGACCATGCATGGAAAGTGCCAAACATACAGGCGACACACAGGTTCTGGGCACTGACAGGCGAGCATCCCCATCTGCTTGTCTAAAGATTTTTTAAAGTCATACATTGAACTTCCAACTGCTTGGCAAAATAGATCTTAATGTCTTAGCAAGTGTGTCCTTGTAATGAAACAGCGAAGTACATAGAATAGTTGTTTTTCTACAAGCAGAAGCTGGCACACTGAAGGACCCTTGAACCCAGAAAAGGTTTCTGTGCCTGGTCTTCTGCCCGCAGCCAGTCCTGTCTGGGTGAATAACCAGTGTAAGAACACATAATGCACAGCAGGCTATTTATTTACTGAGTAACCTTTGGTTTTCTTTATTCAGTTCCAGCAAAATCACTAACAAAAAACAGAACTCTCACATAATTTGTGTTTTGTTGTCAAATGGTCAGATAATAAATATTTTAGGCTTTAAGAACCATTTGTCTTTCTTGCAACTACTCAGCCTTGCTGTGGAAGCAGAAAATCTGCCAGAGACATAAAAGAATGGGCTGGCTCTGTTCCAGGATAATCTTATTTTCAAAAAGCAGCAGCAGGCTAGATTTGTTCTGCGGGCCAAGTTTATGCATCCTCATCTAAAGAATTAAAAAAATAGAGTGTGCGTATATTCAAAATATATGCATTTGAATGTGTCAAATATATTTAATCAAAATATAGTTTAAAATAAGTGTAAAATAGAAAAAAACCTATTTTTCATGCATTAATAGAACTTTAAAGTATTCAAAATTATTAAAATTAAAAGAATAATTAACTTAATAATAAAGTTAATGATTAACTTAATAATTAACAACAATCGAACTTCTAACTAAAATTTAGCTAAAGCTGAAAAGTTTTATTTCAACTTTAAAAAATATATAGTTATGTTTTATTAAGTATTTGTGGTTTTGAAAAGGAAACTTTTGGTGACTTTAGCATTCAGTGTCCATCTAACCATCAGTAAAAGGGATCAGAACGATGTGTCAGCTGTATGGCATTCACGTTTCCATATGATATGTAGCAATGCAAGAATCTAATGTTCTGTGAAGTGGAACTTGACTCTTTAATGAACTTTTATCTTGCCTAATACTTTGCCAATCAAATCCTCCCAAAACCCTGAAGCAGAAGGTCCCTGTGAGGCTGGCAGTGGTCACACAGGAGACCTGGAAAGCACTCAGTGCCCAAGAACCTCAGGCCAAGTCCAGCCTGGCCCTGATTACCATGTGGAACACTGGGCAAACAGCTGCCTGGGCAAGATGCATGCAACCAGGGTGCTCCCAGAGAAGGAGGGAAATCCAAGCCTGCATTGGGAACATAGGCTACAGCAAATGATTCCTGAAACTTGCTTAGCTATTTGTAGCAGTCATGACTATTTCACATCAACATGGTACTTGGAAGGTGGTGAGCTCCCAGCCACTGGAAGGATTCAGCAGAAGTTGAATGTCAAGTCATGGTGTCCTCCATTGACACATGATGAGTCATGGCCTCTGAGATCTCTCCCAACCCTGAGACTTCAAGAATGTTAGATAAAGTGACACAACAAACAACACACAAAGACCCTATATGAGACAAAGAGCAGGATCAGCCAGAACCAGGTCACACTTGGTTTGCAAAAATTAACTGTTAAGCATTTAGGAAATTTGTGAAGAGATATTTAAACCATAGTACCTTGGTTACTTTTCTCTCATTGCTGAGACAAAATAACTAATGCTTAAAATTAAGGAAAGAGAGACTTACTTAGCTCACAGTTTGTAGAGGTTTCAGTCCATAATCAGGTGGTTCCAAGGCAGGGTGGCGTGGTGGAGGGATGACTGCTCATGGCAACAGAAGAGAGCAAAAGCAACAAGAGCAAAAGGAGAGGAGAGCAAGCCTCTTCCCCCTCTTATACTGTATGCAGGCTACTCTCCCTTGGGTGGGTGTAGCACTCACACCACCTCTGTGTCCTCCTCTTACACAGGCTCAGAGTATTTACAAAGTGAGGACACTGGCTCCTTGCTGAATTGAGCTGGACGTGCTGCAACTCTGTTTCCTGAGGTGAGGGCATGAAAACAAGAGGTCCAGGTTTAACAAACTTTCTTCAGAAGGCCCACTCCGCGCCATGCACATGAGGCTTTGGGGGGACATCCAGACCCAAACCATAACACATGGGTAGTTTAAAATCTGCCATAGGGGAGATATTTACACCATGAAAATTGTCAAACACTATTACTCAGGGTTCTCTTTTATTTCTGTGGAGCTGATTTACCAAAAATCACTGAATACATAGTTGGTACAGTTGTTGAATTTCATTTTATTTGGGACTTATAAAACTAACTTGACCGCATGTCTTCTGGAAGAAAACTACCAGGCTGATTAGGCTACCTGGTTTGGTGTGCTGACAGACCAGTACTACACAGCTGTGTGACCCTGGACAAAGCACTTGCCCTATCTAAGCCTTGATTTCCTCGTCTATAAAATGGGATAATGATAATACTTAATAGGATTGATGTAATAATTACATATGATGATACACATACAGTGATTATCATGGCTCTTGGTACATAATAATATTTCAATAAATATATCCACTATGATTATTTTTCTAAGTTATCCACATTTTTTTGTACCAGGAATTGAACTTGCAACTTCGTGTTTCCCAAGCATGCACTTATGCAGCTGAACTAAACTCCCAGCCCCTATCTATTGTCAAAAAGTGGCAATCTTATTTTTACACAATAGGACTATTTCATATTTACGTGAAGCAATGTTGAGTCTATTAAGAGGACAGTGCACGGATAATAAGGTTGATGATGCAGAAGAACCAGGATCAGAAAATAGGTAGGATCCAAGAGAAACAGGTGGGCCAGAATTCAGGCAGAACCTCGACACCACCTTTCCTGCCACCCAGGTAACTGGCCTTGCTGTGGGACTTGTGTCTACCACTAGCAGAAATTTCTGCTGCCCCAGGCCCAGCCCTATGAATGGATCTCTGTCTCTGAGAAGCGGGATTTGCACATTGCAAGCTTCGGATTCAAAGCCATCAGCACATATGTCCAGGTGGCCAACCCTCCTTGGTTGGGTGCCAGCACCTTAATGTCCAAGAATGTGGGTAGAAACAAATATCTAGTGTTTTTAGAATGTGATCTAGAAGATGGATGCTGTCTCCCACCAAAACCTACATCAATGGGGCTGGGGATTTAGCTCAGCGGCATAAGCGCCTGCCTTGCAAGCAGGCAGTCGTGAGTTCGATCCCTGGTACCGATAAAAAAACGAAAAAGACAAAAAAAATTCCTACATCACTGATAATTACCAAATATAGGAAAAATTCACGTAAGTGACACAGTCCCTCAGAAGCCATACATTCTTCCTCCTATGTTTAGTGTTCAACAACACCTACAGCTATAAAAAGAATTCCCATCTGGTGTGAAAGAACTATTTCTCAACATCTGAACATTCTTTAATCCTCTCTCCAAAGAGAGATCAACAAATTCTATTAAGTTAATATCCAGTTCTAAGACTCAAAACTTTGGTGCTTATTCTTCCTTTCATATTTAGGAATAACAGTTGATATCCTGCATTCCTTGGACTACATCAGGGCTCAGCGAACATCTCCATATAGTTTAGCCTTCGCAGTCCATACAGCGTTTGTCTAGATTATTCTAGTCTGCCTTTGTGGTATGGATGCAACCATACACAACCCATAAATGGATGAGTTTGGTTGTGTTCCAATAAAACTTTATCCATAAAATCCCTCAGGTGCTGTACTGGGCTGGAGTCTTGAGTTTGCTGAGTCCTATTCTAGACTATAGTTTGGTGCCAGCAGCTCATCTCGTGTATAATATCAGGGAACACACAAGGGAAGCAGGGAAGTTACCATGTACGTACACACACACACACACACACACACACACACCCTGTAGAACGTGGGAAGAATCTCCAGGTCTGTGGGGTCCATGGCTTCACATGTCCCAGCTGCTGCTGCCCTCCTTAACACCTGCACCACATTCTCATTCCGTCAGTCACAGCTTCATTGTTTGTGGCTCAATATCTGATGGTGGTGAACCCAGCTTTCCTTGGCTTGAGCTTTGGAGGGTGGCATGGCCATTTAATGATCATGTGGGAGGCCCCAGCAGTTTCTAACCCTGTCCCTCTCCCTAACGAGCAGCACCTGTAGTTTCCCCTGGTGCTCAGAGAACAGAGAGGAAGTCCAGACAATGAAAAGACAGGTCACAAAGGCCCACTCCCTACATCAGATGTCAGAGTTACCAAGACGGCACCGCAGCACGTGCCGGAGGAAGAGCGCTCTGTTTGTGCCGCACATTTGACCCACAGGATCTAAATGGTTTGTCTGTTTCCCCATTAGGCTTGAGCCTCCTGTGTGCTGAGGACAATGTGTACCAGTTTTTGCTAATACAAAAATGCATGTCAAACGTGTTCAAAAATGCATGTCAAAAGGTGTGCACTGTAAGAGAAGTAAAAACATAAATACGAACATGTAAATTATGAAGTAATTCATGAAAAATGTAAGTTGCATGCTGTGAGGGAATGATGGGCTCCCATGGGCGAATAATGCATGCAGGAAATAGAAATTTGTGGACAGCCATGATGTAGGAAGTTTATTCTCCCCTGGGGGTGGGAAGCTGGCATTCTTCTCTTTTCTTGTGCAGTCTTTGAGCAATACTCTCCAGTTGGAAGTGGTATTGATTTGCAGCCAGAGAAAATGTTTTGCTTTGGCTTTTTGGAAGAATGATTTATTTAAGAGCTTACAATTTTAAAACAATAGAACTTTGGAAAACCATTTGTTTCCTCCCTAGATGACACCTTTAGTGAGAAGCAGATGCTATCAGCACTAATAGACTTTTACTCTAGATGTGAAAGGTGAAAATATCACTCATGAGTTGGCTTCTTTTGGCAAGTTTAACTACTGATGGAAGGAAATGAAATATGTTCAAGTCAACACCACTTTTTTGGACATTTAAAAAGTATAAATTGTGGTGTTAGGCAGTGTAGGGGACAAAGGAGGAATAAGGATTAGTCCTTGCCCTCAAATTACTTATGGTTTAGTGGAGACAGAGATTTGGGGGAGCCTGTTATAGAGCCATGAGCAGAGGCACCAGCCACCAGGCTTCAAGGAAAGCAGAGGAGGAGGGTTATCTGCAGCTCATGGAACCAAGATCAGCCTCACGGAGGAGAAAGCGTTATTTCAGGGGCAGCTCTGACTTCAGTGGGAGTGCTGGGGAGGTGTGCTCTTGGTTGTGAGAACATACAGCACAGGTTGCAGAGTCCAATGCCTACAGATTCAAACATGTCCCAGTCGGGTGTGAGTGAGGCCATCTGGGTGTGAGACATGTCTCTTTTAGAGGGACCACTTCCGAGGTTCACTTGACTATTAGGATGTGCTACTTTTTTAGAAGAAGCCTAGAAACTTTTTTACACGTTGCCAGTGGAGTAGATAAAGCAAGCACCATGACAATGACACAACCCGAATACATCTGCAGACTCAGTTTAATCGCAGGCGGTGACTTGTGTAAACGGGTGGTGGAGGCTTCAGGCATCCTTGGAACCGGCCCTGCTGGACACATGGACAGGAGTGACTGGGAGCCCGGCTGAAAAGACAGAGAGAGGGCCAGAGCTGGAGCCTTGGGGACACCGAGAACACTCTGCAGAACTTTATTCTGTGGGCACTAGACCTGTGCTCACGGACACCTTGATGCCATCTGCTCTAGAAAGATTTCTTCTGGGGCTGCTTATGGAAGAAGGAAGGAAAAAAGATCCCTGAGTGAGGGTCAAGAGACAAGCGAGGGCGGCAGATCCCTGGGAGTCTGAGCCTAATTAAAGTGGGCAGAAGAGGACCATTAAAGTCAGAAATACTTATGAGCCTCTGAAAATAAAGTTGAGGGACTAGAAGTTATATTTCTTCTGAGAGTGATTTAGGAAACCGAGATCTAGGCCTAAATAAATTACTAACTAGTTTTGTGATTTAAGGCAAACATTTCTCTTAAGCTTTAGCTTTTGTCCTGTCAGACTGTGACAATAAAACTGTCCCTGACTAACTGGGGACATTATAGTGATAGGAAGAGGACACTGCCGGGACCCTATCCATAGAAGTTATTTTGCTTGGTGTTAGGATAGTCAGAGCTGCGTTAGCTAAGGGCTGGCTTTGTGAACATATGAGGGTGTGAAAATCGTTATAAAAAGTGACAATTAAAAGTAATTTTAAGTTTATGTGGAATGAACAGCCACACCTGCAGAGGGAACATTTACCATGCTGTCATCAGCAGGGATGGTCCTGACACTGTGTGGCTTCTGCCCTTCCTAAGTGGACCCACCCAGTCCCCGCTGAGGGCTCCTCCCCAAGCAACCACAGGAGATGCCTCGCACCACATGGGACCAGTGGCAGAAGATGTGCCCAGCTGTGTAGGATGTATCCTCGGCCACACAGACCCTCCCAAACAAAAGTAATGAGAATTAACTGAACTGGAGCTATAACTCCTGTAGGAAGGAGAGCAAGCAGTAACGTGGGTGGGGGTGGGGGTGCGTGGGAAGGTGGAAGACAGGAGTGGAGATGATGGACCACCAGGGAGAGGAGAGGATGCAAATGGGTGATGAGAGGGGGGACTGCAAGGGGGAAGATCCGGATATGTTGTGCCCAGTGGCACCAAAGTTGATTTAAGTTAAGAACAATCCCTGAGGGGCTGGGGATGTAGCTCAGTGGTAGAGTGCTTTCCTAATTCAATCCCCAGCACCACACAAAAACAAAAACAAAAAGCAACAGTCCTCTAGAGCTGGGGACAGATGTAGCTCCTGTATGAAGCCCTCAGTCCAATCCCCAGGGCTGTTACTTCAAAGAAAGAACCATCTCATCTTCTGTGAGGCATAGTTCCATGGCCATTTCTGCTTTTTTTAAGTTAGCATAATTTCACTCGGTAGGACCCCTTAAGGCATCTTTACCCCTCACGTGAGTTAGCTTTCTTTTGGTAAATAAAATACTGCCCTTATTCACTTGAAATAAAATAATTCCTTTTAAGTGCTTAAGTAAAAAGCAGAGCTACAAGTTGTTAAATGTCTACTAATGAGAAGGGGGAAAAGCTGGTTAAATTAGATGGCGTGCAACCGAATAGATTAGGAGTCAGGGTTAACATTTAAGATTCTGCCTTTAAATTCCACAAAAAGGAGTTATTCCAGAAAGAAACGTATTTTAAGAGTGGTCCAAGCAATGGCAGTAAGGGAAGAGGTGCACTGACTTTGGGGTTGGAGGTGAGTGGGTTACCAGGCTCCTCCTTTCGGCACTCTAACTTGATTTCTGGTTCCGCTGAACACGGAGCTCCCCAAGGTCTCTCCGCCTTGCTGAGCCCCATGGCTGTGCCGTGGAGAAACAGAGATGCGCTGGTGACCGTGCGGATGGAGTCCACGAGACGATGTGCGAAGTTCATCACCGACTAAGCGATATCATACCGTTTGTTACTAGAAAATTAAGGTCTGATGTTAGAAATGAAAAGGTTGTAGGCCGAAGAACTGAAAATCCATAACAACTAAACATGGGAGAGAAAAGTGACTTTCAGAAAAATTGCCACGAAGACGTAATATTGCTATTCAGCCCTCACCGCTGCCGTGCTGGGGTTCAGCGGGGTCTTTCACGATGCAACCTCAGCCGCCTGTGTGTCGTGTGTAGCTCCAATGCAACTGTAACATAAACCATCCCCAGCCAGACTGCAAAGTGTTAGTGTGTACCAGGGAAAGAGGGAGACAGAGACGCAAACACTGGGAAAGAGCGCAGCGCACCAGGTCCGGCCCTCAGCCTCTGGCGCAAACCTGCCCGGTCAGCACTGCTCGAACCAAGCTGCTTCCTGGGACAAAGACCTCGATGTGCTGTCTCTACAGGAAAATCCTGCAGCGGTACTGCAAGACATCCTTGAGACTTCGCCTTTCCCATGGAAAGGAAATAACAGTGATAGTGATAGTCACCGCAGCCAAGTCTTCCAGTGCACCTGTGAGCCTGACCCAGGAAGGGTCATCTCACAGTGACCACATTGGGATTCTCCCAGTTAGGCTCATTCTCTTCATTTATCCATGAGGAAACCAAGGCCTTGAGGTAAAGGAGCTGGTCACAGCCGAGCAGCTGGAGAGGTGAGCCCAGGTGTCTCTCCCTTGGCTGTCTGGGCCATCTTCCTGTCAGCTCAGTGGCTTCCCTAAGATGCTGAGAGGGAGCGCCCTACTGGTCCTCAGAGAACCCCACCCCCAGGCCTTGAGGAAAGAAACAGGGTCAGAGAAGTGAGCTGGCATGCTCAGGACAGCACAGCTTTCCCTGGCAGATCAAACCCTCCCATCACCCCCCCCCCCCGCAGGGTAGTGGCCAGTCGTGGACACTGGGCTTGGTCTCTGGTATGTAGCTGTTTTCAGTTTCCATGCTCTTCCACGAACAGGCTGTTGGTTTCACTTTAGAGAACTGCAACACCTGTTTACCCTTCTGAGGGAACAGCTGGCGTGTGCGCTGGGAACTCTTGCTAGCCAGGCGCACCCATGTTTATGGTGGGCTCGCCCTGGCTTCTCTTGACAGAGAACTGTTTGACATGGAGCGAGCAAATAAGGGCGTCCAGTGACCATCAGCCCATAGATTCTTGTTTCTTAGCAACTTCCAGAGTGAATATTGCATGGTGCCCACCAAGGTGAGAGTTTCCATGACATGATCACATGCTCATGACAGCTGACCTTTATGGAATGCCCTTCATATAGCAGCACCCTTGAATTCTTGCAGTTAAACCCAAACTGAGGGATGTAATCCATTTAACAGATAAGGAGCACAAAACCCAGGTAACCCAGAAACTCATCAATGTTGAAAAGAATCCTAAAATACAGGAGCCAGAGTTTAGTATGCATGATGCCAGAGACAACGTCTGTAACCTCCACCTTGCATCTACAGAGACTAGGGCATCTGTGGCTCAAGGCAAGGTTTTTGACCTTAGGGGATTATAGTCTAACATGGGGCACATATACATGAAAGCATGACTTATTCTTAAACTCATAGTTCCAAAGCGAGTAGAGACTTTTTCTCCCACTAAGAGACTTTTGAGAAGCATCTTTAATTTCTCAACAGGCCTATGCAGGGTATTTTTATCCCCATTTTACAGATGAAGAAAATGAAAAGCAAAGTAAATCATCAAACTTTCTGTAGTTAATATTAGAGTCTTGATTCAGGCCCTGGTGGTTTAACTCCAGAGTCCAGGTTTGTACCCATAGTCAAGGTTAAAAAGAAGAGAGTCAATCCTTAGCACCGACTCCAGTAAGTTTTCCTGCCAACCAGGGATCTAAAGGAAAAAGCAGCCTATGATTTTGGGGGAAGGAAGGGGTGTAGAGCCAGAGCACAGGGTTTGAGTCCTTTCACTCCAGGCACTGTAACTGGAGAGGACCATTGGCCCTCTTTTAATGGGACCTATCACCTCAGTCCATCTTTGAGAAATGCTTTTTGTTTAATTGTTTGTTTCTGGGCCATAATCCCTGTAGATGCTAATGAAACCCTTGGCAAGTCTGGGAAAGTTTTAAGAGCTTTAGACAAATCGCAAAAGTTATTGCATTTTACTGACAGCACGTGAGGCTAGTTCAGTTTTTCACACAGCCTCTCATAGAATACTTATGCAATTGTTCATCAACATTTTCATGCTTGTGAATCTGTGGCCTTTATTTCCTATTTCCAAGAGCAGGAAAGAAAACAGCCATTTAAGGGGTAATCTGATGGCTCTTGCTTGCATGTCTGCCTCTGCTTCTTTTCCATGTGTGGAACAGCAAAAAGACCGCTGGTCTGGCTTCCAGGCCACTGCTGTTTCTTTGCTGTGATTTGGGGAGCCCTCTGCCTTTTGGAGGCTATGTTCTTTCTTTCTACAGCCTTTGGTTTCCACACTGGGCTCTATACCTAGAGTTGGTGGTTAGGGTTGTGGGTTATTGCATGGAATCTGAGAATCCACACAAAAGAGAAGTCTGATGTTGATCAAAGTTGTACTCCATTTGCATCTATTGCGTATGTCTTTGGAGACACTGTCCTAGTAATAGATGCAATTTCAAATGCAAATGATTACAATGCAATATGTGTATATGCCAATTCTCCAAGATGAATCTAATTGTTATGTATCACAAACATACCAATGTAAAGGTATTACTGGATTTTACTAGCTTTTGTCTTTATGTGTTTTCTAGTTAAAAGGAAATTAAACACACTAATAAATTTTTATTTCTGATCATCATGACTTTTTTTTTTTGGTATTAGGAATCAAACTCATGACCTTGCGCTTCCCCAGCAGGCGCTTGTGCTGCTGAGCCATATCCCAGGCTCAACCTTTATGACTTTTTAAGTTAAAATACTATTGGTTTTTGCAATTATGATGTTCTTAAACAACATACACTAAACATTCTGTTAGAATGAGAAGAGTTTGCCTACCTGTTTGATACTGAGAATGGCTCTGGCCATGGCAAATCTGGAAGATCCAGATTCAGATGATTTATGGCAACTGCCATAAACTAAGACTAATATTTTGAGATTCTTAATAGCAGGGTCTAAAACAGTAGCCCTTAGCCACACGTGCCATTTAAATTTACATTAAATTCTAATAATTTATTCAGTTATACAAGCCAGATTTCAAATTCTTAGATAGTTTCATCACTGGAAAAAGTTCTGCCAGACAGCCCTGCTCTAGGAGAACTGCATGATCTTTTTTAGTGTGCGTTTCCTTGTGATGAGATGATTTTATCGTGTAATTCTTAGACGATTATTTACCCTTTGGCTCTCTCAGTGTAGTGGACACTCTTGAATAGGTGTGGTTAAGAAGCCCGGCAGGTGGGTTCACTCCTTGTGAGACAGTTTGCTTTTGCACTTAGGGTTGTGCAGGGTAACATGATGCTTACAAGCAGCCACACCCCCACAGAGCCTCTCCCACCAGGTGCCCAGGATCTGGATAAAGTCAGACACCAGGATTTTGCTGGTGCCTGCCAGGACGAGCCACTAAGAAGAGGAAGAATGGAGAAGCCGCTTAAAGCCAAGTAATATATTTCCCTCTCTTAAAGGAAGGTTTTTGGGTGGGATCAGAGTCAAGGGGTTGGGAGCTGGGGGGGAGGGGTTCCTTCAAAAATCTTCACAGGTTAATTAAGGCTTCAGGCTTACTAGAAAAGCTCATGGGCCAGGAGGGATAATTTCACCTAAATAATGGCACTTAAAAGACATATTTTCCCCTAATGATGTGAAAATAAATAATATTCTTTGTAGAAAAACTGGAGAATGTAGAAGCTACAAGGGTTCTAACATTGCCTTATAACAGCTGGAGGTGATCACTGTTAACAATTCTTAATATTTGAAAATCTCTTTTCATTCCTTCAACTGGGCTATCCAAAGTGCTTTTGTTCTGAAACCAAGATCTTCCCTCACATAACTGCAGGAGATGGAAAAGACCCCCTAAGCCTGTGTTTTTCCTCCCTCTAGTCATCTTTCATGTTGTAAAGGAGCTAGGAACTTCCCTTTGAAGGAATGATGTCCATTCGCCACACTGGCAGGTTTGCTTAGGGGTGCTTTCCTGAGGCTGAAACTTGGTGTGCATAACCTTGAGGACTAGAGGAAGGCAGCTGTGGGGTACAGAGAGGACCTTGGCTGTTTTTTGCTTTGGGGTTGGATGAAATGCATCTAGATACATTGGTATAGTTTCATCTGCAAAGTGCTTTGATAGAATCAGTTGGATATGTTGTAAACATAAATCAGGGACAGGACTGGAGTTCTAGCACAAATTGTCTGTTGAATCCGTTTTAAAATTTAATCACTTATTAAATGTCTATTGCCTATCTGTTGAGAATACAGTGCTGTACTAGGCCCTGGGTCCATAAGAATGGATGGGGCCTGATTGCTACCTCCAGAGTTACAGATTAGTGGTGCTAATCTATAAGAAAATTAGAGAGTGCAGTGTGTGTGTTGCAGGTATTACGCTAGAGGCGTGCTCAGGAGGCTCCTGGAGGCTGGGGAATCCATTTTGGGGAATCAGGAAGAGTTCTTAGAGAAAGTACTTCCAAACTGAGATGCGAAGAAGGAGCAGGAAGTAACGGTCTTGAATGCCAGGGCGGAAGCAGAGGTCAGACTGTTCCAGGGAAAAGATGTGGAAGCGTGAGGACGGAGGTGAGAGGAGAAGGGGTGACGCATGGGGGCACAAGTTCAGTACAGCGTACACTGCATGTGCTCTGCGAACTCTATTGCGAAATGCCTTGGACTGCCTTAGCCCCCCAGACGGCTGGGGTGATCTCCAAGGGAACATGGTGCTCCCTTCCCAAGTACAGATGTTCCCGTCTCTAAAGAAGACTCAGGTCAAGGTCGCCTTCCTCACAGCCTTTCTGACTACCTCTGATGGAAACAAACCCTCCTGTGGATGCCATGGCATTCCTGCCTCCTCAGAACACTCCACCCTTTCCTGCTTCCTCTGCTTTTCTGGCCTGGAAGCCCAGGGAGAGTCAGGGCAGCATGGCCGCATTCTGGGGAGAGCAAGACATGCTGGGATCCTGATAGAAACTGGCCTGTGCTGCTGTCCCACGCCACTTTTGAGAATTCATTGCATTTCCTCTCCCGTGTGTCTGCTTTGATCCCCTGCCACAGTCAAGCTCAGGATAATTTTTAGAAGAGAATAATGCATTTGATTCCACTCACTCACGCAGATTAGATCCTTCAGGATGCAGGACTTCAGTGGCACTGTAGGGGCTCTGCTGTGAGTGAGGAGAGAGATGTGTGCACGTGAATGGCTCCATTTGTTGTTTATACCAGTACGTGAACGGCTCCTGCCTTGGGTCCACTGAGGATCTGACAGTACCTGTTCACAGCCAGCAATTAATGCTTTATGCTTTATTAATGCTTTTTGGTAAGTCAGTACCTATGCCATCGATATTCTACTACCCGTGTTTATCAGGTGTGTGCTGGTCAGTGATACTGAGTTATTTCCTCCTGAAAGAAATAGATTTTGGACAGAAGCACTGATTAGGAGAATGTCTGGGATAGTGATTTCAACCCACTCATTTATCTTGTTAATTATTTCCCTGCAGGCATGTTGCTTCTTAGTTCTGCCTGTGAAAGGGTTATACTAATTCATTCATCCATCCACTTACCTACCCGTATTTCCATCCAGCAAACAGTGGTGCCAGCTGCACACATTCTGGAGATCAGAGGAGCAATGAGGGGCTTCTGTGTGAGGGACGAGCTATGCATGCAGCTTGGAGGGCAAATGGGACGGTGGGAATCAAAGCCTTTGAAGCTGGAAAGGGCCTGACCGACAGGGGTGATCGTCACAGCTGCAGTCTGTGCTCAGAGAGCAGGCCGGGGCGGCTCTGTGGAGTGGGTCACTCCCTTCAGCTCTTCATGACTCATGACAGTCAGAAGAACCATCCACTGCCACTTCACTAGTACTTGATGAGAATCTCTTTGTTACAGATATCATCTCTGCAGCCAACATAAAGGCTGCTGGATATAAAAATAATGTGCAATCTTTATAAAAATATAAAGTTATCTAGAAAATAAGTATAAGGAAAATAAGAAAATTAAATCCAAGCTTCATCTCCCAGAGACAAACACTTCTGAAGAAAACTTCTTTCAGGCATCTTTCCATGCGCTTGTATAGATTTTACAGAAATTGCTTCACACATCACAGGATTCACGCTGTTCTGTAACCTACTTTTCTTCTGAACATTATCAATACACACTGAAGGTTCTATTCCTGGATGGATGGTTGAAAAGCAGTGTTTAATATAAAAAGAGGCTGTGATCACTCCAGTTTCCTTCATCAGAGCATTCTAGGATGCTGTGAGTGTTAAATCTTCTTCTGTATTTTCTCTTGAACTAATGAAGTTTGTGTGTAGGTCTTGGTTTAAACTAACAAACACATACTTGCACTGTCGTGGCCCATGACTGCACGGCATCCCATTGTGTGTTCACAATTAGTTTATTTAATTAGATCCCAGTTGGTGAAAATCTATTTCCTTTGCAATGACTCTAGAATAAACATCTTTGTGTATTCCACTTTGCCTATGTACAAAGTTGTATAATTCCAGCCTTTGGAATCATTCCTAGAAGCAAGACAGTTGTGGTCACAGGTTTTTAAATTTTAATTTGTGTTTGAATAAGGAGCTATTAAGGAGCAAGGGAAACACAGGTTTTGAAACCCTGGGGATTAGCTGAGCTGAGTGGACTAAAATTCTGCCGCATAATCAGTGCTGCAGGAAGTGTTTCAGGGAGAGCTGTTAGGTGGAAGGGGTCTCCAAATGTTGGGAGCAGCTCCAGAAAATGTGGATGAATTGACCGGCTTTGGAGACCTCATCAGAGAGAGCATCTCTAGAAGTAGCCTGTGCCAGGGTAAAGAAGGGCAGAGTCTTCACTCCACAAGCACCTGGAGAGGGCACCTTCTGCGGGAGGCTTGGGTGAGGAGTTCATTACACCAGCCCTGGGCATGGAGGGGCTCTCAGCCTAGTGCAGGACACATGTTGGTCACAGGACGTACAATTGAGAGTGGACAGCCTGAGTGGGACCCTGGTCAAGGGCACATAATGCAGAGGACGCCAGGTAGGGAGGGAGGGTGGGAGTGCACCCTTCCACTGGAGCTGTACGTTAAAGGGTGAGAACACCTCAGGCAGCTGAGGCAGGGTCCTGAGGTCCATGATGCACAGACCACAGGCTAAGACAGACTGGGGCCCTGTGGTCCAGTCCGGCTGGAGCACAAAGCAGAGAAAGGGAGGCTGGTCCCTAGCGCCTCTTTCCCACACTGGGACTCCTGCCTCTTTCCATAGACAGACTTCATTATTCCTTTACTGTCCAGACTGAGTTTCCTTGCAGAGAACCCTACAGTAAAGTTCAGCTGGGGAAGGACTCTCTCACCTTGCAAAGCTTCTGGTCTGTATAGCCAGTCATCTGCTCTGTAAGTAACTTGTCCTCGAGGGGACCTGCTGTGGACAGCACAGTGATGACTAAGGCTAGGGGGTGGTTTCTGTGTAAGCACTACAGAACTGGTGCACTAGATCCTTGGCATGGACCTTTCTCATGGCCAACCTGAAATAAGCCAGTTCCTTCCTCCTGTCCACCCAGCATACTCCTTGGCCTTTGTACCCAGCAATGTCAGCTAGGTACATGGCTCCATGATGTCACCTGTGGCATCTCAATTCTTGGGCTGACTGCCAGTTTGGAGCAGGAGACGCTTGTGCTGTATGACAGAAGGTGACACCTGTGGCTGGAGAGATAAGCAGGCCTCTCTGAGTCACTGGGGGGCAGGTTGGCATGACAGAAGCAGGAAGAAGAAGAGAACAGCTGGGTGTGGCGGTGTGCATCTGTAATCCCAACACTCTGGGAGGCTGCAGATTCGAGCAATTTAGCAAAACTCTGCCTCAAAATTTTAAAAGTGTTTTCAAAGGCGATGGGGTGCAAAGGCCCTGGGTTCAATCCCTAGTATCTCAAAAAGTTAAAAATGTAGACATATTATCATGAAGGTCCAGCATAATGTAATACATCTTAAAACCAGTGGCTTCACTGAATTAGCACCCGGCTATCCTAATTCTTGCCCCAAAGCTTTGTCCTTGTGTCCTGAAAGGGACCAGTCCATTCTGTTTGCCTGCCACATTGCCTGGCTCCTGTGTGTGGGGCTGAGTGTGCATAGCTGGGGTGGGGCAGCTCTGGGTGCAGCACAAGGATGGTTAGAATAGGCAGGAGGTGAATCCGGGGTTCTGGCTGGGGAGGGAGCGCTAGGTTCTGGTTTGAGAACTGCGATCCGGGCACGCATGCCTATTCAAGTAAGCAAAAATCCATCTGTCTCTGAAAACAGTGTTTACACAGCCCTCTTGTTTAGAATCTGGAATGGGGCATTTACGATCTCTGGCCCCGTTAGTACACTGTGTATGCGTAGTAAATTCCCAGACTCTTCACACTGGTTTCATAGCAGTGCTGCTTTTCTAGCGGTGATCTCACTGTATTGTTTTTCTCAGAGCTGAACTCTCAGTGAATAGCAAGGCAGGGAGGGGGTGCGGCTGATGCTATC